CAATTGAAAAGTGCAAAAGAGTTAATGCAGAGGAGGAAAGAGGGTTTCCAAAGGCGTACGAAATCGGGGTCAAAGAAAGAAATGAAAGAGAAAGAAAGAAAGTTGGGTGAAATTGTTGATGGTTCCAACAGTATGAAAGATGATAGAGAGCAGGGCACTTCTGAAAGAGAAGACAGTGGAATGAAATTTGCTGTTAGGAAGGAAAGGCAAAAGGTGTTGAAGACAGCCAGAGAAGTTCCAGAATCTCTAGAAGATGAAAATTCATTAAATGTGGCTAAAAATTTTGCACAAGAGAAGCATGGGAAGGGATCTTGGTCATCTCAGGGGTCTTTCAAAATTGATGAAGCTAGTGAATGGCAAGAAGCAACTCAATATTTTGAATTGGTGGCAATAGATGAGTCCAGGAAGGCTTTTGAGCAGGAAAACAAAGAGAAGATTTTGGTTCAGAACAGAAAAAGTTATGAGCATAGGCAGAAAGAAAAAGCAACCATGGAAGCATTGGTTCAGCAAGAAGAAAATGATAAGAAAGTAAGAGCAGCTATAGAAGAAGAATTAGGGAAGCAACCTCGTGAAAGGGAGGAATGCAGTGCAAAATTAAAAGCTGCTAAAGAGGCATGCAGGCGAAAAGAGCCTGAGAAAAAGGTGAAAGTGACTCATGAAATTCGTGAGGAGGGAAAGAATGAGATGAGTCCTAGCATGGGTACACTGCCTGCAGAATCTGAGAAGCAAAGAGACATCGTGGTAGAGGTTCAAGATAAAGAAATTAAGTTCAAAGTTGAGCAGGCCAGGAAGCAGAAAGAAAATGATAAAAGAATTAGAAGTGACAAAAGACTCAAGGAATCTTGTGGAAGGGAAGATTTTGAAAAGAGACAAGAAGAAGCTTTGGAGCAGGAAGAGAATGAAAGAAGGCTTAAAGAGGCGTTTAAACAAGCAGAAAATGAGAAGAGACTGAAGAAGGTTCTTGAGCAGGAAGAAAATGAGAAGAGGTTAAAGGAGGCTCTTGAGCAGGCAGAAAATGAGAAAAGGCTAAAAAAGGCTCTTGAATTGCAAGAGAATGAGAGGAAATTAATAGAGGCTTTTGAATTGGAAAAAAAGAAGAAACAGAAAGAGGCTACTCAAAGAGAAGAAAATGAGAAGCGGCAAAAAGAAGCTCTCGAGAGGGAAGAGTATGAGAAGAGACAAAAAGAGGCTTTTGAATGGGCAAATAAGAAGAAACAGAAAGAGGCTGCTCAAAGAGAAGAAAATGAGAAGCGGCAAAAAGAAGCTCTCAAGAGGGAAGAGTATGAGAAGAGACAAAAAGAGGCTTTTGAATGGGAAAATAAAATGAAACAGAAAGAGGCTACTCAAAGAGAAGAAAACGAAAAGCGGCTAAAAGAAGCTCTCGAGAGGGAAGAATATGAGAAGAGACAAAAAGATGCCCATGAAGGAGAGGAAAGTGAGCAAAGATTTGAAATGGCCTATGCTCGGGATCGGCAATATGACAAAAAAGGATTAATGGAGGCCAAGGACATAGAAGGAACTGATGTAACATTAAAGGAAGTGTTTGGGCAAGTAGAAAATCAGAACATAAGAAAGGCTAGTGATTCGGAACAGATTGGGAAGACTGTTAAAGTTGCTGGTGACTGGGAAGAACAGAAGGTCCTAAACAAAACAAATGAGGGAACAGAGAGGAATGAAAATGGTCAGGAACCAAGATCAGTTAAAGGCTTGCACATGGAAGAGGGGGATCTAAGGGTATCTGATGAAACATGTAACCAAGGTTGTAATAAGGACTCTCAAGCGACTCAAATAGCCAGCAAACATGATGAAAACAGTGAAACAACGGAAGCAACTCAAAAGGCCCCCACTCATGAAGAAAATGGAGAGAAAAGGACTGAACACAAAATTAGTGATACACAACCAGAAGTAGCTGAACGAGTAAGTGTGTCGACTGACTTAAAATTCAAAGCATCTAGAGTTTCCCTAGAGGATTTAGAAAATGGAGAGAACCGGTTCAGAAGGGAAGACTCCAATGTTTCTCTTCCTTTAGATGATAGTGTGAAGAAAGCAAGGGAAGAAATCAGGGCTGAACCTAAAGCTAGCAAAAGGGAATTGGGGGAATTTGAAATGGAAAATGTGCAGGTTGATGAAAAGTTCAAAGCATCTGGCATGGCCCAAGGAGAGATAGAACGCGGGAATAGCCAAGTTAGAGTGGATGATGCCTACGAGTCAATTCCTTTAGATAAGCACACGAAGAAGGCAGGAGAAGCTGGCAGTGGCATTGTACAACCACAAGTTGAGCAATTTAAGAGTACCTCTCGAATGGATTTTGATCATGAAACTAAAAAGATGGAATTTGTTCAGGAATGGAAAGAGGGTGAAAAGGACTTGAAGGGAGTCCAAGCTGGCTCAAGTCGGGAAGAAAACAAGACAGCGAACTCAACCCCTGAACCGGTGAAAGAGTTTGTTGAAAATAAAAGGAAAACAGAAGCAGCTTATCCAGTCATGGTAGAAGTAAACAGCCAGAAATCATCTCAGCAAGTTAATTCAAGCCAGGCGCCAGAGAGAAAAGATAAGAATCTTAAAGAGACCCTTAAAAATGGGGAGAAAGAAACTGAAAGGTTGAAAAGAGAAAGAGAGCTCGAAAATGATCGCCTTAGAAAGATAGAGGAAGAAAGAGAAAGAGAGCGGGAAAGAGAAAAGGATAGGATGGCTGTTGACAGAGCAACACTTGAAGCTCGCGAATGGGCATATGGGGAAGTTCGTGAGAGGGCAGAAAGGGCTGCTATGGAGAGAGCAACAGCTGAAGCTCGACAAAGAGCAATGGCAGAGGCTCGTGAAAGATTAGAGAAGGCATGCACAGAGGCCAGGGAGAAGTCAATAGCAGGGAAGGCAGCTATGGAGGCCAGGCTTAAGGCAGAGCGTGCTGCAGTAGAGAGAGCAACTGCAGAGGCCCGAGAGCGTGCTGCAGAAAAAGTAATGGTTGAAAGGGCTGCTTTTGAGGCAAGAGAACGAGTGCAAAGATCTGTTTCTGATAAGTTCTTTGTTTCTTCTAGAAATAACGGTTTGAGACATTGCTCTTCATCCTCGGTGAGTATTATTTTTTCTGCTGGATTCGTCCCCCTTTTAATTAATTCATAATCTCCAACAGAAATCTAAAATGGCTGTTAATTCATAGGATCTACAGGACTCGCAATTTCAGAGCACTGGGGGTTCAAGATATCCATATTCCTCAGTTTATGCTGGTATGTGATTTGTAATGCTCCAGTGGTTATTTCATGCAAATCTTTCTTTAAGCTTTTCTTCAGTTTCCATTAACATTTGACTTATGCTTGGTTGGTTCTACATTAATGGTCTTTTCTGAAACTTTCTTCTATTACAAAGAGAGATATGAGGGAGTTGAAGGTGAATCAGCTCAAAGGTGTAAAGCAAGACTAGAGAGGCATGCTAGAACAGCCGAACGAGCGGTATGATTTTAAATCATTTATAATCTTTGAGCGGTTTAGTCTATACGGAAACATTATAATTTCAAGCTTTGTGGGACTGTTTCAGGCAAGAGCTCTTGCAGAGAAGAATATGCGTGATCTTCTTGCACAAAGAGAGCAAGCAGAGAGAAATGTAATTATTCTCTCCACGTTAAATGAATTTCTGGAACTTTGAATTGTATTTCCTTTCTCGCTGATTGGCTCGGATCTAATTCTATTTGCAGAGATTAGCTGAGAATCTGGACGCAGATGTCAGGAGGTGGTCAAGTGGAAAAGAAGGCAACTTGCGTGCATTACTTTCGACTTTGCAATATGTAGGTGTTATTTGAGCTACATGTGTTTTGCAATTTGTAGGTGTTATGATGTTTAGGCTCTAGCGTTGGGAACTTGAACTCATTTTTCTTCATTGGCAGATCCTTGGGCCTGATAGTGGTTGGCAGCCTATTCCCTTAACGGACGTCATAACTGCTGCTGCTGTAAAGAAAGCTTACAGGAAGGCTACTCTTTGTGTTCATCCTGACAAGTTGCAACAACGGGGTGCAAGCATTCAACAGAAGTACATATGTGAAAAAGTTTTCGATCTTCTAAAGGTGCGTTAACCACCATTTTCTTTTGTGGCTTGAAATAATTATAACTAGAACTGGCGGGACTTTTTCTCAAAGCATATATGAAAAAGTACAACAAGTGGGTCTTGTTTGTGATATCGTTTTCTTCACTTGTCTTATTTCGTTAGTTTTTTTTTTTTTTTTTTTTGGTTCACTCAAGGAAGCATGGAAAAAATTAAACCAAAAAAGGGGGAAAACAAGGTTTTAAAAATTAATTTTATACCACTAGTAATTATATATATATCCATGTAGTTTCTGTAGTAAGCTTTAAAAGCTCCAAAAATAGTTTTGCGGCAAATATAATTGAATGAAATATGGGTGTGTTGTATGTTCAAACTTGGAAGCCCCACCTGTTACTCTAAAGTACATTAAGCACAGAAGGCATACAAAAAGATTCCTTAACATCTCCACCAGGCCAAATTTAAATAAATTTCATTGAAAAAATTTCAGGAAAGGTGATTAGCTCTATTTAGAATGTGACAATTATCACGTCTGTTATGACCTCACGACATGCCTTGTGTGCTTTGCTGGGGTTGGTTAGTTTGACCCTTTTCGTGTGGCATTTCCGTGGTGTGTTTTTGTTTGCGTGTTGCGCTGTTACTTTTAACCCTTTTTTTAGTACAACAAGCGATTGAGAGAGGGGGTTTATGCAAATATTCATTGGGTGTTTGGAGGCTTTGAACCTTTGCTCACATGAGGTTAAGTGGGAAGAACTCAACCAATTAAGCTATACCCGATCATCTCACCTCAATCAAATTATACCCCAGCTAACCTTTTCTTTCTTGGTTTCTCTTGTGGTGCCCCAAGTTTCTACCTTTCTTTGGTTTGTGTTACTTTTATTATTTAAAAAAAGAAAGAAAAGAGACACGTTGCACGACGCTTGCACCATTTTTATGAGCCATGTGTCTCTTCCGGCATTCGACCAAACGCTGGTGTCGTTATTCTTTAATATTTGCCGTATCAAGTTACTGTAATCTGTACTTTTCTCCTAACATATTGGAAAAGAGAGCAACCCAATTTCTTTATTTTATAATATAATTGAGCCTACCCTAATGCCCCGTGACCAAATTCATGACCACCTTAAGTCGTCCTATACGCTTCCTTTGCCTTCCCGCCAAATGCAATTTCAAGGGCTTACACACCCACCACCTGTTCAATGAAACGTCTCAAAGAGATATCTACTCGCTAAACGCACTGCTTGCCTCTTATAACCGGAATGGACAATTTTCCACCACATGGGCTCTCTTCTCTTGCATTCATCGCGCAAAATCCGACCTCAATGCGTACACTTTCACTCCGGTATTGGGCGCGTGCAGGGCGTTGCCCCGCCCCGAATGCGGCAGACAAGTCCATGGTCTTATGATCAAGACGGGTGCTGAGTCAGGAACTGTGTCTAAGACTGCCGTCATGGACATGTACTCCAAGTACGGGTATTTGGAGGACTCTGTTAGAGCTTTTAAAGAGATGGAGTTCAAGGATGTTGTGACTTGGAACGCTTTGCTTTCTAGCTTTTTGAGGCACGGGCTTGCTCGAGAAGCGCTTGGTGCGTTTCAGCGAGTTTACTTTGTGTTCTCTGCTTAAAGCTTGTGCTTCTTTGAAGGCCTCTCCACAAGGCAAGCAGGTTCATGGGATGGTGGTTGTGATGGGCCGTGACATGTTAATTTTGGGTACTGCTTTGATTGACTTTTACTCTGCTGTTGGGTGTATTAGTGAAGCCATGAAAGTGTTCTCCGGCTTGAATTGTAGAAAGGATGATGCAATGTTCAATTCTTTAGTTGCAGGGTGTGTTCGGAATAAGAAGTACAAAGAGGCATTATCGATTATGTCTACAATGAAACCCAATGTAATTGCACTCACTAGCGTTCTTGCTGCTTGCTCTGAGAATTCAAATTTGTGGATTGGAAAGCAGATACACTGCGTGGCGATGCGTTACGGGTTCACATCCGACACACAAATGTGCAATGTTCTGCTAGACATGTATGCAAAATGTGGGAAAATTTCAAATGCTCGATCCTTGTTCAATGGAATTTCTAACAAAAATGTAGTTTCATGGACAAGCATGATTGATGCTTATGGAAGTCATGGAAATGGGCTGGAAGCTCTTGACCTGTTCAAGAGGATGGGGGAGGAAAGAAGTGAAGTCTTGCCTAATTCTGTGACTTTTCTTGCTGTTCTCTCAGCTTGTGGGCACTCGGGGCTGGTGGAGCAAGGCCGGGAGTGTTTTAGTTCGGCCCCGGAGAAGTATGGCTTGGACTTGGGTCCAGAGCACTATGGCTGCTTCATCGATATGTTAGGCCGGGCCGGTCAGATAGATGAAGTGTGGTGTGTGTTTCAGGACATGGTTGAGCATGGCATTAGGCCTACAGTAGCAGTGTGGTCAGCATTGTTGAATGCTTGTGGCCATAATCTCGATGTTACAAGGGGTGAGGTCGCTGCAAAGCATCTTTTGGAGTTGGAGCCAAGTAAGCCTGGGAATTTTGTGCTGGTATCAAATTTTTATGCAACCATTGGAAGGTGGGATTCTGTAGATCAATTGAGAAGCGTTATGGAGATGAAAGGACTGGTTAAGGAAGTTGGAAGTAGCTGGGTCACTGACTCGAAATGCCATGAAAGTGATTTTACATAATTTGATTGAAGGCAGAATATGATTATATTTCCCGCGACATAATGTAAAATCCGTGAACTGAATCGATCAAGTCCGGTCCAGTCCCATTTTCAGTCAAAAGCTGACTTCTTTTTTTGTCAATACGGTTTTTTTGGCTTTCTCACCGGCTTTATTTTTTAATAGTATAAGCGATAGTTTAAAGACTATAAAGGAGGGGAGTTTCTCATGCATACACAATCAAAATGTCGGAGGGTTTGAACTTGAGATCTATTTTCTTGAAATCAATGCGTTTTTTCACTAGGCTAGACCCCGTCAGTTCCCTAACTATATTAAAATTGTGTAAATTGTGAGGATGTAGTAAAATTTAAAAATAGTACCGTATTTGGTTGGTTAATAAAGTGGACAATGAAAGAACAACGACTGAGATGCACACATGATCACAAGAGAAAGTAATTCATGTGTGGTAGGGTTGACACAAGCCAAATGTGAACGCTAGTTCAACTTTAAATTGAGCGGCTCCAAATAAAACCAAGTCTGCCGATATATTAAAATGATATGAGAATCGAAGCCCACCCCAGGGCCCCACTTAGATTCAGAATCTTGACAACGTGTCTTTCTTTTTCTTTGACACACTGGACTGAACTGAATGTATGATATTTATACCTTACAATATAGTTAACGCACGGCAACGGCACTGATTAGAACATAATATTTAATTTATCACAAATATATATTGTCATTCGTTAGTTGAACACGAGACTTCTAACAAAACAAAAACCAACTACCATTAAATCAAAAATTAGTTGATTCGGATTGTAACTTTGAATATGAAAAAAAGGTAGTAGATGCTGTTGAATATGTTAAGACATTAAGGAAAAAAAAAAAACAGACATGCCAAGATTGTGTTACCTTAAACTAATGTTAAAACCTACTTTCTGTTTTACTTACCAAACTTCATCGAGCTTCTCGTTCAATGAAAAAGTAAATGGGGTAGAAAAGAAAAGAGTTGAGTGAAAGCCAAGGAAAATAAAATAGTGTTGATGTTTCAAAGCAACCAAGGAAGAACAACAAGCCTATAGGACTGATTCCCACTTGACAACGGGCTCATTCTGGCGTCTACCCCAAGCCAAAAGTCTCAACCTTGACCCCGCCAAAGTGCCAACCGCCTCCAAACACACGGCCCCATTCAAATAAGTGAAATAGCAACAACAAACGACGTCGTCCCTGCCATGTGGAACACAATTAACCCATGAGGGATCTCGAATGCTTTGGGCTTTTCCGTCATACATTACACACAAGAGCCCTTGTAGGCGACTGTGTCACGGCCACCACGACATTTATGGTATCTTTAATAATTGTAATTGGATTAGGAGGAATTGAATTGAAGAGGGGTTGGATTATATTATGAATTTCTATTGAAATTGTTTACTAAACCATATGGATTGAAAAAAGTTAGATTTCGGATTTCAATTGAAGTTGTTTACTAAATCATATAGGATTGGAGTATGTGCGGTACTAATTACTAAAATGCCCTCGTTATTAGGTTAAAGTTGTAAATTTGGAATTTTTAAAATTGTGTGAGGATATAATGGGTAAAAAATATGATTTCCTAATGGGTTAGTTCTTCAGAAATTAGAATACCACATTCCACCAAAAAATTGAATTCCTTTAAAATCAGGAATTCAATTCTTAATAAACAACAATCATATCCCTTTTATCTTCCTTCAATCTAAAATGTGATTCAAAATAAAAACCAACGCGTATTCTAAGGGGCTAGTTTTAATTTAATCTAATTTTGAATTTTGCATATATAAGTTAAGTGAGTTGGCTAGGACAGTGAGACCGCTTCTCTCGTCTCAAATGCGAGTTTACCTCTTCCTAAATTAGATTAATTTATTTCCAACCTAAAAAAAAAAAAAAAAAAGTTTTACACCGTGGTTTGTACTATAAAAAATCTTAAATTTTGAAATAAATAAATAATATAAGAAGCAAAATCTTGGTGGACACTTCGACGTTCGTAGCCTCCAAGAAAAGGAAAGAGGCGTTTGAAATATTTGCGGGGACCGTGTGTGTGAGCGAGACCAAATAGCGAAGCAGCACAGAGAAAAAGAGGCGGCCGTTGCGATAGAGTCTCTTTAGAGATTCAGACAAAAACAAATATTTACCCAAAAAAAAAAACAGGAAACCTGGAGAGGCTCATCATCTTGGTGACGGAAGAAGGGCGGTGATGACTGGCGAACCCCAAAATATCAGAGCCCATAAATACCTAGAAACTAGATAATGGTGCTTTGCAATTGCAATTGCATCACCCTCTTCTCTCTCATCCCTCCCTCCCTTCCTCTCACCTGACCCGCTTCCCCCTCACTCTCTCCTCCTTCCTCGGCTCCACTGGTACGCCTTTGTTCTATTTCCGATCTTCGCTTTCTGTTCTTGTTTCTAGTTTTCCTGTTTGAATCTTGTTTGTTTTATTTTTTTTTGAACTTTTGTTAGTGTTTGGTTGCTGAGAATCGGCGCCTCCACGAAAATGGGAGGCTTTTCTGATTTTTCTGAGGAACCAAACATTATGTTTATTCTTGTGTGTGGTTATTTTTTATGTTTTGATCGACCGACCACCTACTTCTACCGGATATATAAAAAAAGAAGGAAAAAAAAATATGTGCTTTAGGTTTTTACTAGCTTCCTAGCAATTAAAGGAATTAGAGATGTCTGGTTTTGGGATGTTCAATTAATTTGGTAATAACAGCTAGGGTTTTATTTTTGTTGTTGTTGATTTGGATGTTTGATGATAATTGTGAAGCAGAGCCATGCCGACTTTCACTGTCGTAGCTTTAGATAGGTTATTAGAACCTGGAACTTCTTCCAAATCCGTTGACATGTCTTCTCTTCCGAATTCCAAGCCTATTTCAAATTCAATGCCGGTTCCTGAGTCCAAGCTGGAGAGAAGGAACAGTACCTCAGTTGTGGAGAACAGGCTTCATCGACCTCCAATGAAGCCAGCCCTCTATGCTACTCCTGAGGCCACCCCACTCCCTGATTCGCCTACTTCCTTCCCTCCCTCGCCTTACATCATCAACCACAAGCGCCGAGGCCCTCGCCTTCTCAAGAGTTATTCCGAGCAGGACGTGTCCATACACCAGAAGGCCGGAAATGAAGAGAAACTCAATGGGGATGTTAACAATGCAGAGGCCAAGTTGTCGAGTTCAACTGTGGATGATTCAGCTACTTTTACTTTTCCCAAGCCTGTTGAAGTGCAACATTCGAATGGCTTTCATCATTTTGAAAGCAGCAATGGGAAGCTTGGGACAAGTAATGGGAAACTTAGAAGCAGTAAGGTGGAACTGGGTAGTAGTAGTGAGCGTGAAGATAGCTTCCATGAGTCGAAAAAGAGAAGCAGTAATGTGGAACTAAGTAAAGATTCGGATAGGGATGATGATTTGTGGAAGCAACCTGCGATGACTCCAGAAAGAGATAGTGACCGTGAAGATTTCTTTGATCCAAAAGACTCCATGAGTGTCTCAAGTTACACAGATGGAGAGGTAAATGCTGGGGCAGAGCGTTCTGCGCAGACCAGTACTCCCATGGGGGAGTTCTATGATGCTTGGGAAGGTATGTAGCTTTATTTTTTTAGTAAAATTTATTTCCTTCCATTTGTTTGTATGTTTTAACTATCTTGATTATGTTATATCCATATATCCGAGAATTACTGCACATCATGATTGAAGATTGGAACATACTGGTTTTGCCATTGGTTGGTGTCTTAAGTACATAGAATTTGGTGCATTTTTCTTTGCCCCTCTCTCTATATATATGTAGGTTTGTGCAATTGTTGGTATCATATCGTTTTCAGCTCTTATGTCAATTTGGATTTGTGTTGAGAGCGTCAACTGTAACTCTACCTATTTAATTAATCGTGTTAGATGACTTGACTCATATGTCATTTCATGAATTAGAAACTCAAGATTGGGATCCTTTCTCCTTAAACCAAACTCAATACTTGTCATACAGTAAAAATGACCCGATCCAAATAAAAGCAAAAGTTGAAAATCAAGGGCAAGAAAATATAGTTCTAAAACAACTCATACAATACCAAGAAAATGCAAGAAATAATTTTAAAAAAAGAAAAGAGATAAAACGTTTTCTTCAGACAATACTAGTTAAGATTTCATGTCGAAATAGGAATTTCGTGTTCAGAATTAATCTAGTGCATTTGGCATTCACATATGTTGTGTTATTTTCGGATTCATTAGCTAACTCTAACTTGTCCTACCCAAAAAAGATAGTAAATCGGAACTTGTTAATTTTGTATTGGGTTCAAGTTGTGTTACTGTGTCATGTTGAAAGTTAATTTTTCGTGTTTTGCCGAAAAATGACATCCCTATCTTTTTGTGGCCTATAAATGTTGCATTATCTGTGAGATTAGCACTAAGTCTCTAATTATGATTAAGGGCATGAACATGCTTTTTCCCATTGAAATATCAGAGTATGTGAAATTTCAAAATGGCATAGAAGGGAAATTAAAGTATAGCATTCTGTGCATATGTTCTGTATGTGTGATATCCTATGCATTATAAGTCCACCTAGTTTCTCCTGTTCTGAAGTTTGGTTAAAAATTACAAAAGGATTTCCCAAATTTGTAGATTTTATTCTTCAGTTTTCGGTAATCCACCTTGCTCTACATGTGCACTATTGGTGATTATTTTTTCAGTAAAGCTTACTTTTACTGTTACTTTGTATAGAACTTTCATCTGAGAGTGGACATGGGCAGCAGCTTTCCGTTTCTGATGCTGAAGCTGAATTATGTGAAATGAGATTGAGTCTTTTGATGGAAATAGAGAAGCGGAAGCAAGCAGAAGAATCCTTGAATAACTTGCGAAACCAGTGGCAGAGGATTAGGCAACATTTATCTCTTGTAGGGTTGACACTCCCTGCAGATCCCACTGCTGCAGCAGGCCATGAGGAACTAGGTTCTGATCCTGCAGAAGAGTTGTGCCAACAAGTTCACCTTGCTAGGTTTGTATCAAATTCTATTGGAAGGGGCATAATAAGGGCTGAGATGGAGATGGAGATGGAAGCTCAGATTGAGTCAAAGAA